TGTGTGTGTGTGTGTCTGTGTGTGTCTGTGTGTGTGTGTGTGTGTCTGTGTGTGTGTCTAGTCATTTGGATAAAAATAGGAACCATTATACTTAGATGGTAATGAATGTGAAATGGAGCACTTAACATCTCACATGGCACAATTGACTAAACGGAAGCCCTGAGCCTCTCTTTATGGAACACACGTTCAGCAAGAGCTTCAGTAATAGTGTTTGGTTAATGTCAGCTCAGCATTAAATTTACATTACACTCCTGTGAAGAAGCTCCAACGTTACCTGTTAATATCCAAGGCGGTAACCAGGCTTATATAAACTTATAGATTTTGCACATGAACTAACATTGCAGCTTGCTGATGAGAGATCATGTGAGCCTAGAGATTTGATGTGCCCACGGATTCTTTGTAGGAATAAAAATTCTGGTCAGCGAAGGTCTGTTTCTCTACTCAAGCAAGAACAATGTTGTTTCCCTTTTAATCAGACACACACGGGGTTTGAAGTAGCCAAGAGCCTCACATAAGTGATGTGCAGCCATAGCCTGGGCAGCCCCTCATGCAAGAAATGAATAATCCTTAATAAAGGCTCAAACGACCCTGGCTTCTTTCTGTGCTGTAATCAGTTGCTTTAATGGTGTGCCCTTCAGTGCTTCGCAGGGAAAATGCTATAAAGTTATCTTCCTTATCTTGCTTCAAGGAGGGCTGAATTGGGCCAATTCAGACCTCCCCTCATGTTGTATTTGATTGTGTCATAAAAACCACTGAAGTCAGTCTCAGTTTTGTTGAAAGGCTAGCATTCACTTTCTCTTTCAGGGTGAGCCGCGCCTCTGTGAACGGCACTGGACTTGAACCAGCAGGAAGTCACCATCTTTATTGTCAGGCTGTGGAATTTGTTTTAGGCACGTTCTAAATCCAGCCTTATGCCTTTTGCTTTTTTTTTTTTTAAAGTCTGTAACAAAGGTGACCCAGTTGTGTTTCTTTCATATTATGAACACAGCCCTTTTTGCTCATATCACAGAGGCATATGACAAAATACAAAGGACAAAACTGTGTGTCTATGTGTAGTAAGGACATATATTTCATGACTAAATTCAATGACATAATCAAAAAAGTGTTGTCCTCTCAGAGTCATGAGCTAACAGGCAGAGACCGCCTCTCAGGATATTTTTTTTATAGTGCTGAGATACTGTTCAAAAATAATAGAACTAATGAAAATGTCACATTGACAGAGTAGCCTGTATTAAGATTTTACTTCAAGAAGCCATGACTCGGTGAATGTGACATTGACAGCAACAGTGTTAGGGTTTACAGAGTTAGTAAAATTTTCTAAGAAGAGTATTATAGAGTTGCAGTTAGAGTGTGTCATGTTTTCATTATACTTTCCCTTTACTAGAATTAAGTGGACACCAGTGTTCAGCATTTTGGCCTTAGTATCTTATTTCTGCCTAGGAGAGGGGTAGTGAGCTTTTTCTTTATATCAAACTCTAATGCAATTGTAAAATATAATGCTTTCAACTAAATAAATTAATTTTACAGTATGGTAAAATGCAAGTGCCTTAGGACATTTGAAAAATATGCAGGTAGTAAAATTACATAATGCTGGTGCATTCCTCAGTAAGCAAATATGCCATGTTTAAGTGATTAAAAACATCTTAAAAGGTAGAAATGGAGACTAACAGTAGAAAAGAGACTTAGTTGTAAATAGATTGGTTATAGCATCACTGAAGACTTTACTTAGCTCTCTGGGTTGGTTGAACAAATACGCCAACAAATCTGGAATGAATAGCAGCTCTGTTTGCTATAACAGGTTTTATTTGTCTTGGGTGCAACCAAGACCACATGCTGTGTTTTCTCTTGTTGGAAATACTGAAGTAGGTTTCCATTGTGAATGTGAATTTTTTTAAAAGCCTTAATACCTAGTCTCAACTCAGCTGGGTAAAAGCAGTTTAAGTTTTCCTTTCCTTACCAGCCAGACATCAATAAATCTTAAATCCCTCTACCAAAAGCACATAGCTATGGTTCACTGTCCTGGTTGTAGTCTTAGGTCACTGCCATAGATGGCCTGATCCTTCTCATTTCCAATGGCTATCTTTCTGCCTTTACTCTAACAAAACTAATTTTTAAATTTTCTTTCTCCTCCATTTGTAGTACAGCTTCTTTAACTCAAGAAGTATGCCACTGTAGGCATAGGGCCTTCCCAAAATCCAGTGATGTGGAAATTTCTACCTAGCCTAAACATGGCCAACATTCTGTTTCCCCCCTTATTTACATCCTGTGTAGACAAAGCTATGTTTACAAGCTTTGTCTCCAACCACATCTACTTACTGGAGTTATTAATTCTGCTGAATTTATGGAAAATGTGTATTGGTTATTGCTAGCTGCTGACGAGTAGGCCACTGACTCATGGTGATCCCATGCACGATGGGATCAGACTGTTGTGATCCATAGGATTTTCACTGGTTGATTTTTCAGAAGTAGATCGCTAGGCCTTTCTTTGTAGTCTGTTTTAGTCTGAATGCTCTGCTGAAACCTGTTCAGCATCACAGCAACACACAAGCCTCCACTGACAGACAAGGGCTGGCTGCACGTGGGGTATATTGGCCAGTAATCAAACCTGTGTCTCTGGCATGGAAGGTGAGAAATCTACCACTGTTTAACACCTCCAATAATAGCACAACATATTGTTAAATTGTGTAGATTAACTTTCCACATTGGGACAATGCTGGGTAGCCCATCCTTGCAAAGGTCTCATCACATTCCTTTCTTAATACATTATTGGAATTGTTCAGTTAGCAGGGAGATCTGGAAAGAAGTGGAAGAGTAAGGGTTTAAGAGTATGGGAAAGATCATTGTTTTCATGGATTAGTATCTGATTTTTTTGCTTCTGTGATCTTTGCTGTAGTTTCGTATGGGTTGTTGTTTTTCTCCAGGGTCATACCAGCCTGTCTGAAATGAGTTTAAGGCTAATCTAACATTGAGGAGCCCAGGAGCCAGTAGAGATTTGGCACTTAATTAATATAGTCATGCTCTGTGGAGTGGAGCAGGGGGAGGTTTGAGGTGGTGCTGGAGGAATTGGAACCAGCACACCTCAGCCCACAATCTTGAGGATGCCGTGAGGAACGCTATCCTCTAGTTATGATATGAGATAGGCCCAAATAGTGACTATTGTGCACACTGAGTATCTTACCAGGGTTGTTGTTGTTGTTGTTAGGTGTTGTCAAGTCAGTTGACCCTATGTACAACACAACAGAACACTGTCTGGTCCTGTGCCATCCTCACAATTGTTTTTATGCTTGAGCCCATTGTTGCAGCCACTGTGTCATTCCCTCTCATTGAGGGTCTTCCTCTTTTTCTCTGGCTCTCTACTCTACCTAGCATGATGTCCTTCTCCAGGGACTGGTCCCTCCTGATAACATGTCCAAAGTATGTCAATATTCTTCGCCAACACCATAATTCAAAGGCATCAGTTTTTCTTCGGTTTTCCTTATTCATTGTCCAGGTTTTGCATGCATATGAGGCAACTGAAAACAGCATGGTTTGGGTCAGGCACACCTTAGTCCTTAAAGTGACGTCTTTGCTTTTTAACACTTTATGCAGCAGATTTGCCCATTGCAATGCATCGTTTGATTTCTTGACTGCTGCTTCCAGGGTTAAAGGTGAGAATAAAGAGGGTGAGAAAAGCTCACTCCAACACTTTAACATTCAAACAACTATTTGCACACCTACTTGTGCCAGGCATAATTTGGGGTGCTTGGAGATATAGGGGTGAATAAGTACCTTCTCATATGGAATTTAGAAGTAGTAGAGGGTACATATAGATAAATAAATACCTTTAGATAGTGAAGTCGCTAGAAAAGGATGTAATGTTTGGTAAAGTGGAGGGTCAGAAAAAATGAGGGAAACCCTCAATGATGTGAATTGGCACAATAACCATGACAGTGGACTCAGACATACCAACAATCATGCAGATGGCACAGGACTGGGCAACATTTCATTCTGTTTGTTATACATAAGGTCACCATGAGTCAGAGCCAACTCAACAGGAAGTAACAATAACAGACAGTGAAGGATAAAAGAAAACTGAAACAAGGTATGAAGACAGAGAGTGATAGGCTGGCCAGCATTGGTATGGTAACTAGTTACTAGGCCTCTCTAAGGATGTGGCATGAGCCCAGGCCAAATGAGGAGGAGCAAGTACAGCAAGTACAGAGGTCCTGATGAAGAAATGATCTTTGGGCATTCAAGGACCACAAAGATCTTTGTGACTGGAGCATGGTAAGGGAGGGGAAAGCAAAAGATGAGTTTGCGGAGAGAGAGTAAAGCAAAGTTAAGAAAGGAACATCCCAGAAATGAAGTCATCTTGGGAAGCTTCATAAAAGATAAAGTCAACAGTGTACATAAGTTAACACAGGTAAAATTATCATATTTGTAGCTTTAAGAACAAAGCTAGAGGCTCAGTAGAATAACTAGGAATAAGTAGGTGTCTTATGTCGAGCAAAGTAGCAGGATGTGGGAGCTTCAAAGCCTAGTGTTTGACATGCTGCTGCTACCAAGTTGTTCTCATTAGAATATCTCCAGTAGAAACACTAGTACATTTGTGTGTGAGGTTTTTGAAAGTGATGGCAACCTCCTTTTAAAATAATTCTTAAGCAGTTGAGTAAATTTTTTTTTTTAACCTGGAAAGTTAACTCAGCCTGATTGTCCGCTGTAGTTCGTCTAAGTACAACTCTGCATTTCCCCATCTCTTGCAATGGAGGGGCATCGATCTTACAAGAGATAGCCTTAAGCTTCAGCTGGGGTCTTGTGCTGCTTACTAATGCTTTTCTTTACAGTGGCGGTGGCTGGGTGTTACTGAATGCTTGCCTATAAAATAGGCTCTCCCTGTGAATAAAAACCACCCTGGGAAACCTCCACATTTTAGAGGATCTTCATGATGCTGGCAAAATGTTAAGTGAAATTTAATCTTGTATTCAAATTAACAAACACATGCAGTTTCTTCCAGAAACCAAGTGATTAGGTTTACAGCTATTCTATTTACATGAATAAATATGGATTTTTCCCCCTATTATAAATTCTGTTTTGTTTGGAAGACAGTAAATATTGAAGCATCATGTAGACTTGCCAAATATCTGGGCCTCTTGACACTCCTGGAATCCAAGAAACAAGCCTGAAGTCTTAGAATTCCATCATATAGCTTGCAATGCACTGTTCGTATTGTAAAGAGCAAAGTGTAGGGTACATAAGTTTACTAGTGTATTTTTCTTTTGGCAGAATTAAGATGCTCTGGTTTCAAGGCAATAGAATACAACTTGCCAGATACTCCTTTGGAATCCTCTTGAGAAATCTCTCTGCCTCTAAGACTACTCTGCCTGTGCTGACCTTATTCACAAAGGTACAGAGTGAAAAAGTAAAATAACTACTATAAAAATGTAAAATATTAAAATTGTTGGGTAAAGAAAGTTACACATTTAGGAAAGAGAAAAAATGTTGAAAATGCAATGGAATGAACTTTCTTCAGACTTGCTCCTCAATTTTTCCATCAGCATAATAGTAGTAACTCTATTTCTTGCCCCCAGACACCTCATTGTTTCACAGATATGAGAGGATGAATTAATATATTAGTGGTCATCTGACTGAAAAAAAGAACTATCAGGTTATAATATGACGCTTACATATGTATCATTTAGAAATACCGATTTTCCCATCCCTAACTAATACTAGTTTTAAGCCATGAAATCTTTTTCTAAAGAGCTTTTTTTCCTCCTGAAATTTATAGTAGGAACATTACTGATTTCCTTTTGCTAGTTGACATTTGAATAATTTATAGTCATAAAAGAAATAAACTGCAAGGTAATAGAATCAACTTTAGTGAGTAATACTGCATTTCAAAAAAAAGTTCTCTAATAGATTTTTCACGTTTCAGGCATTTAAGCAATTTGAAAATATCCAACAGTCAGTTATCTAATAACAAAGTTTAAGTAGTTTTTCAAAATGAATTTTCTATTGAGAATGCTTAAACTACTTCACATATCTTTAAGTATATATTGCACTGTTGGAAATGGTCAAACAAAAATATTTCATCTGAGAGTCTACTATGGGAAATGTGTGTGGGAATTCACCACAACAATAAAATAGTCCCTTAAGGCCAGTGGTGCTCACTCGGCCTAACTGTTATGCACAGTTTTTCAATCTGAGCAACAGCTCAGCCAAAAATATTTTCCAACACACACACACACACACACACACACACACACACACACACACGCTAACCTATTCAGCTCAAAATGTATACTGAGCCCTTCATCTGTGCCATTAGGCATATAATATCACTCCCCCCTTCAGAGTTCACAAGCCAGTTAAAGAAAGAGATACTTAAACTATCGTGTCATATCTTTTTCAGTTACAAATAAGAGAAAGTAATTCTCAGAATGACTTAAAGGGATTTTATGGGTTGGTCTGGTTTCAGAAGCAGCTTGATTCAGAAACTGAGCATGTTACCAATCTCTGCAGCTCTGCTTCCTCTGGGTTCAGTCCATCCTTATTCCAGCTCTCCTCGTGGACAACTGCAGCAATCTCAAGCCCCACATTGCACATTTCAGATACCTACAGAAACTCAAGCAAAAGTCCCATGGCTTTCTATTGGCTCCAATCAGCCTATCCCTAAGCCAACCCTAGCCAAGAGGGATAGGATACTGATTGCCTCAGACTAAGTCAGATGTTCTACCCTTACTGCTCAGGAATGGAGTCAGCCATGAGGCATAAGCTGAGAGTAGTTTCTGAGTAGAATCACAGCACTCTTGCAATAAGAAAGGGGAGTGGGTGGTGGACTACTGTAAAAACAGCTTGGGGGCGGTGTCTGACCTCCAACCCCACAAGCGGGAAGGAAAATCAACGGCGCAAGTCTGACTCCCATGATGTGGAGGCTAGACAAGCCTCCTCTCTTCTGCCATCTTTACTAATTCTGACACCAACTACCCCGCACACAGCACTCTCTACTGGGTTCAGTAATTCATTGCAATGGCCACACAGAAGTCACAGACCATACCCACGATTATTGGGTTTATTAGGGAAGTAACAGTTACAATTCAGGCTCAGGGACACTCAGGATACAGTTCTTGCATCAGTACAGCTCTTCCCAACCATGCTCACAGACACACCTCTCCCTGGCCCTAGGCGTCTCTCCAAAGGCACTCAGCTTTCTCTGTCCGTGGGCCGGGAATCCCACTGCACCGTTCCCTGCTCCTGGTTCTCTGTTGCCAGGTCTCTCCTGCCACCGCTTCTCACCATCTTCAGAGTTACATCTTACTCTCTCTCTCAATCTCCTGCTTCCCGTAGCTTCTCAGCAGGGATCTCGGGTCCAAAGGACACGCTCTCCGCCCCTGGCTGTTGTTCCTTTGTGGTGGTAGGATCCGCCTCTCTGCTCTGGAATTAGCTTTCTTTTAAGGCAAAACTGACCAATCCCCTAGGTGGGCCACAATTACCCTATCACATAGTCCTGCCCAATCACCTGGGTGGGAGTTACAAGACCGTGGCTAGAAAGGCCACCACAAACATAATCAATCATGCCACAACTGCCAACCTAATAAATGCCCACTGCAATTGAGGGATAGAGTAAATAACAAGTGCTATGTTGGTGCCATGGAGAATCCCAGAAAAGGATGATATTAATGCTGCTTGGAGGGTACTCTTGTTTCATAACTTTTAGAGAAATAAAAAGCTATTTTCTCCTCCAAATCTACAACCCTTAGTTCATTCCTTCTCTTTGTAGACATAAAAGTTAGTAATCCTATAAAAGCTTTACTCTTTTAGCCTATAAAACAGACTTATGTAGTGGCCTTCTCCCCTACCCCCCAAAAAGTCACTAAAATCTTCAGATGAGTTGGATTTTCATATGAATTACAGCTTACATTAAATACTGAAATGTTATTAAAACAAAAGATAACGTGTATTTTTATTATTAGAATTAACCCGATTATTTTTTGTGGTGTTTAAATATTCCAGACCACTGGGTCTTATCCTTTTTCAGTTTGTAGGAAACCCTGGTGACGTACTGGTTAAGAGCTCAGCTGCTAACCAAAAGGTCGACAGTTCAAATCCACCAGGTGCTCCTTGGGAACCCTATGGGGCAGTTCTACTCTGTCCTATAGGGTCGCTATGAGTCAGAATTGACCCGACAGCAATGGGGTTTTTTAGGCCCTTTGAAATCTGATGAACATTTCCACATAAAAATACATACACACATGATAATTTGTATGGATTTCCATAGACCCCAGGTTAAAAACAAAAACCTTGTCTAGGCTCTTCTAAATGTTTTTAATACAAGAGTAAAATTTTGGTACATTTGTTACTTCTGCAATTTAGCATGTTCTTGTTTTGCTTTTGCTTTTAAGATCCTGTGTGTACTTTTTAAAATGATTGTCTTAAAACATCACACACTACCCATAATAATCTATTTATTGATAATAATAAAATGATAAGCCTAATTCTCTGACCCAGGAAATTAGAGCCAGAAAGACAACTTCCTTCTGAAGGAAAATGGTCTTTTGATTATCTTGGTCCTTGTTTCAATATAAGTTGTGAGTTAAAATGGAGGAAGGAATGCTCTTATATATCACAGCTCATCTCTTACCATCATGCTAAAAAGCAGGTTTTATATAAAACCTGCCAATGATCCACAGTATTCTTGGCAGATTTCTTTCAAGGTGGTTAGGTGTGTAACAGTGGGCACTGAAACCTGCTTGCTCCTCAGGTGAAGAATTAGTCTGGGAGCCCTATGCCTGACACTCCTAATGAGAAAACAGGCAAAAAGTTAATGAGTTGGTATCATCATCATCCGAAGTGAGTAGAGACTTTCCGCATTTTAAAGATGAGGCGATCACTATCTGATGGCCTCCTAATGGGTTTATTCCTGTGGACTTATTAGGGGAGACAGGCTGGCAAGGCTCACTAACCCCACCCCCATCAAAACAGACTTTAAGCCATTCCGGGGGTATCAGCCAGACCAATTGTGTAAGGCCCCAGGACTACAGATCAGGGAAAAGTAAGCCTCCCAGATACCGATTAGATGAAGCTAGTAACAAATGTAAAATATAAACTTATATATTTATAAGTATATAAATATACATTAAATAAAATTCATGGAGAGAAAACAAAGCAACCAAAAAATACTGAGAGCCCATTTACCATGAAAAATAAGCTATTTACAAAATGGCAGTGTTTTGCTTCAGAAGTAAAGCAATGTAATTGACCTGATAGACAACTGTCCTTTAAAATAAGTATTATCTGCTGTATATGTTTTTTTTTTTTTGTTAGGCTACACACCATTCTTTGGGTTTAATGGCTTAATTTTTTTTTTTTTTTTCCTGTAGGATCCATGCCCCCTTTGTGATGAAGCCAAGGAAGTACTCAAGCCTTATAATAACAGGGTAATATAATACAGTTGGCTTTTATGTGTATGGAATGGTATTGTATGTGGTATAAAGAATCTGCCCGGATCCTTTCTTTAGGAAAAGAGATTAAATGATTTTTCGTTTAAATTTTCTTTCTATTCTTCAGAGAGATTTTAGTGCTGATTTCCATAAAACTCATTACCCCTAAGTGTTTTTCTCTGAGCAGTACTGGTTTTCTTACTCTGACTCTTAATATGAGCCAAAGTTAACTAGCAGGTGCAGTATTCATACTTTCTTTAAGCTTTTGTCTCCATTCCTTTTATCTTGTTTTGCATTTTCCATGGAAGTACTTTCATATAGCACACCATCACACCTTTTGCATTCTTAGAACCAAAACACTTCTGTCCTGATTCTCAGGCAGCTCCTCGACGGGGTGTCCCAATTGGATCACTTTATTTCATTGGGAAATGAGTAATGCCCTGTTGCTAAATGTAACAGGTGTAATAGAAAAGTGGCCAAGATAACAAGTTAGAGAATATAAACGAAACCAATCAAGCTGTGGAAATCAGGGAGGGGCATTTGATTACTATGAGCCTAAAAAAATAAAAATTCTCAGCATTAGAAAACGTCTGGGGATCATTGTGTCACTTCAACTGTTGCATTTTTCCATGTTGTTTAAAATACAGAGCTTTAGTGTGTCTGTGTTTCAGTTTATTTTGCAGGAGGTGGACATCACACTTCCAGAAAATGCTGCGTGGTACGAAAGGTATAAATTTGACATTCCTGTCCTCCATTTGAATGGCCAGTTTCTGATGATGCATCGAGTAAACATCTCAAAACTTGAAAAGCAGCTCCTGAAACTTGAGCAGCAAGGTGCTGGAGGCTGACTAATGCCGTCATGATTGTTCACCCTCTCTGTCCATAAAGCATCTTCCTGAGGAAATGACCGTGGCCGCCTCATACTCCTTTTGTCGCTTTCACACAGCCCTGAAGGATGTTCTGAACTCAATGGGTGCCAAGTAAATGTTGACATTCTTCTTCTGATTGATAGAAGCACAAATACCGGAACTGTGTACTGTTTGCATTTTATAAAATAAGAAGAGTGTGTCGACAGGGAGGGGGATGATGGAGGGAGGGAGAAGTCGATTTGTGTTATTTATTTTCCCTTTTTGCATTAACATGGAGGCACTTAACACTCGCTGGCCAGTGTCATTTAGAGGTAGAACACACTGCATCCCTGCTGCTGCCCTGAGGCTTAATTTTTTTTTTTTTTTTAATTGTATTTAAGGTGAAGGCTTACAAAACAAATAGTTTCTCATGAAACAGTAGTACACTATTGTTTTATGACATTGGTTAACAACCCCACAACATGTCAACCCTCTAACTTCTCAACCTTTTTTTTTTGGTGAAAATACACATAGCCAAAGACACACCATTTCAAAAATTTCTACATGCACAGTTCAGTGACATTGACTACGCTCTTCCAATTGTGCTGTTATTCTCACTTAAGATGAAGGCTTACAGAACAAAATAGTTTCTCATTTAATAGTTACTACAAATGTTGCCCTATGACAATGGTTAACAATCTCACAACACATCAACAATATCCTTACTCAACCTTGGGTTCCCTATCACTGGCTTCCTTGTCCCCTTCTGCCTTCTGGCCCTTGTCACTGGACTACTGTACCTCGTTAGTCTCATTTGGTTTTACGGGGCTGTCCACTCCCAGGCTGAACGGTGAACCTCGGAGATAACTTCACCACTGAGCTAAAAGGGTGTCTTGGGGCCATACTCTCGGGGTTTCTCCAGTCTCCTTTAGGCCAGTAAATCTGGTCTTTTTTTTGTGAGTTAGAATTATGTTCTACGTCCTTCTCCAGCTCTGTCCAGAACCCTCTGTTGTGATCCTGGTCAGAGCAGTCAGTGGTAGTAGCTGGGCACCATCTAGCTGTACTGGACTCAGTCTGGTGGAGGCCTTGGTAGGTGTGGACAATTATTCCTTTGGACTAATCTTTTCCTTGTATCCTGTTCTCTTCATTCTCCCTTGCTCCCGAATGGATGAGACCAGTGGAGTATCTTAGATGGCCGCTCACAGGCTTTTAAGACCCCAGATACTACTCACCAAGGTAGAATGTAGAGCATTGTCTTTATAAGCTGTGTCATGCCAATTGAGCTAGATGTTCCCCGAGACCATGGCCCCCACAAGGGCTTAACTTTTTAATGAAAGAATAAATGCTCTTCCACTCAGTAGGTAGAGTGGACTGTGAATTGTTAATACACTGTGCACAGTCAATAAAGGGGTGTTTTAATGAATACATTTGCATGAAGCCTGTTTCAGTGGGGTTTAATAATACCTGTTTAAAATCAGAGTTCATTTTTGTTGGGTAGAAGAGAATAATGATCCTAGCCAAAGAGGCTTCATTTGAGAAAAACAAAAGACTTACAATCCCCCAAAAATTACAAGAATCTCAACATGCTTTACACGTAGTCAGTGAATTGATTCATAACATTTCAGGGCTGCTTTGATAGTTACCCAGTTATCATCAATGGAGTTCATTAAGCTTATTGTAAGACAGTTTTATCAAGTTTTAATATCTGGGGAAAATTCACTTCTAACCATAACTGGACAGATTTGTCATCTAAAGAGAAAATACCCTTTTCACCATTTTAAGTAAAGTGTTAAACATGTAGGTGGGTAGCCTTATTTATATTTAGTCAGATTTAGCCAATATATGAATGGATCCATTTAAAAGCAAAGCTGGCTTTTCCTCTTAAAATCACATCCTTGCAATTTCATCTATAAGGAAGTTCTTTATTGAACTATTTTAATGAATCTGGATATTGTGGGTCATTTGGCTACATTTTAATTTGATCAGTGTGATTTAGTCTTAGAAATTATAGACTGTTAGAGCTGGCACACCTTAGACTTTGTCTAGTCCAACCCCTTCGGGAGGAATCTGAAATTCAGAGACTTAGTCTAAGGTCACACAGCCAGTCAGCTGCAGGGCAAGGTCTTGCCCCCAGGCCCTAATTTCCAGACCACCTGGGCTCATTGCAGGGGCCTCACCGTATTATCTCCCTACAGAATCCTCAACTATCTGGATCCACCACAAATTTAGAAGCAACTTTAAAAGGCCTCCAAAGTGACAATAGACCCCCAGACACCCTTTTAGCTCAATAATGGAGTCACTCCTGAGGTTTACCCTTCAGCCAAAGATTAGACAGACCCATAAAACAAAACAAGACTAATGGGGCGCAACAGCCCAGGGACAAGGACTAGAAGGCAGAAGGGGACAAGAAAGCTGGTAATATGGAACCTAAGGTCAAGAAGGGAGAGTGTTGACATGTCATGGGGTTGTTAACCAATGTCATAAAACAATATGTGTACTAACTGTTTAATGAGACTATTTCTTCTGTAAACCTTCATCTAAAGTACAGTTTAAAAAATTTTAAAAACAAAACAAAGTGATGACAGAAAAAAATCTTACACTCGAATAACAGTTTTTATAGTTTACAAATTTCTGGAACACATACTATTTGACATTGTAAACATTTATTGAGCCTTGTGGCAGGCAGAATTCTGACATGACCCTAGTTACCCTGTTAGTTATAAAATGTTCACTGCCCGAATTTTTTTAGAATTGGTCAATGTTTAACCATTTCAGGAGGTAGCATATGATCAAGAACTTATGGTATTGGAAGGAAGAAGTCCAAGCTGTACTGAAGGCACTGGCAAAAAACAAGGCTCCAAGAATTGATGAAATACCAAATGAGATGTTTCAACAAATGAAACAGATGCAACACTAGAAGCACTCACTTGTCTATGCCAAGAAATCTGGAAGACAGCTACCTGGCCAACCTGCTGGAAGGGATTCATATTTGTGCCCATTCCAAAGAAAGGTGATCCAACAGAATGCAGAAATTATAGAACAATATCATTAATTCCACATACAAGTAAAATTTTGCTGAAGATAATTCCAGAACAATTGCAGCAGTACATCCACAGAAAACTGCTACAAATTCAAGCTGGATTCAGAAGAGGACATGGAACAAGGGATCTCATTGCTAATGTTAGACTGATCTTGGCTGAAAGCAGAGAATACCAGAAAGAGGTTTACCTGTGTTTTATTGGCTATGCAAAGGCATTCCACTGTATGGATCATAACAAATTATGGATAACATTGCGAAGAACGGGAATTCCAAAACACTTAATTGTGCTCATACAGAACCTGTAAATAGATGAACAGGCAGTCATTCGAACAGAATAAGGGGATACTGCGTAGTTTAAAATCTGAAAAGGTATGCATCAGGGTTGTATCCTTTCACCATACATATTCAATTTGTGTGCTGGGCAAATCATCTGAGAAGCTGGACTATATGAAGAACAACACAACATCAGGATTGGAGAAGGACTCATTAACAATCTGCGATATGCAGATGATCCAACCTTGTTTGCTGAAAGCAAAGAGGACTTGAAGCACTTACTGATGAAGATCAAAGACTACACCCTTTGGTATGGATTACACCTCAACATAAAGGAAACAAAAATCCTCACTACTGGACCAATAAGCAACATCATGATAAACGGAGAAAAGATTGAAGTTGTAAAGGATTTCATTTTACTTGGATCCACAATCACTGCCCATGGAAGCAGCAGTCAAGAACTCAAATGAAGTATTACATTGGCTAAATCTGCTGCAAAAGGCCTCTTTAAACATGTTGAAAAGCAAAGTTGTTGAGGCAGGGCCAAGATGGCAGAGTAGTCAAACGCTTCCGGTGGACCCTGTTACAATAAAGACCCGCAAAAAAACAAGTGAATCGATTATATATGGCAGTCTGGGAGCCGTGAACATCAAAGGCAGAGTTGAAGAACCAGACCGAGTGGCAGGGGGAGGGAGAGACGGTTTGGACGCAGTGAGGAGTTGCCAGACCTGACCCAGCAAGCGCCTGAGCCCTTCAGGCCTGATCAGCTCGGGGGTGAGTGGTGAGGCAGGCAAGCAGTGGTGCTCGGGAGGTGCGTTTTCTGCACCAGGAGAGACCCAGCACCAGAGAGTTTACGCGGCCACGCAGAACCAGTGAGAAGCAGCCCTGGATCAGTGAAAGCTAAGTACTTGCGTACGGCCTACTGCACGGATCAAAAACACCCCCCTTAGGGGAAAAACCTCTCTCCCATTTACCTCCCCGCTCCCTGCTCTGCACTGGGTCCCGGACTGGCTTCAGCAAGTGCTGAGTTCCCTGGGCCAGAAGTAGGATCTGTCACATGCCAGGAGCCATTCTCCCTGCCTTGGAGAGTGAAAAAATAACAAACGGGAAAAATAAAATGCTGGCTCCCCTAAGCCAGGAACCCAGAGGGGGCACAGTTCCTTTGCCTAGGCACAGGCAAAAGGGATCCACGGACTTCGAGTACCTTTCCGCCTATATAGACTTGTGTGAGCCCATTTCAACAGCGTAGGCCCTTATTACCACAGTACAACAGCATATATACCAGAAGTCTAACTTCAGCTGTTTCAGCTGTTAAGTGTCAGGTTTTTGTCATTTGACACTGCTTTGACCATTAAGCAGGGTGTTCGCATACCCACATCAGGCACCTGAGGACTGGTGGCTCCACCCACGCCACCTAGCCACCTGCAATAGGGGCCCATGGACAAGAGGTGCCTCCTAGTCCTTAGAGCCAACAGCATTAGGTGCTCATAGTCTGACTGCAAAACCTACCAACCTACGTGCTCTAGGGAACAGGGATATGTCTTCCTCCTGGACACTTGGGGGCGGCCGTCAGCCCCCTGCCTTGCTCAGAGTGTGTCCCCTGCTGCAGCCAGATGCCTGTGCCTACACCAATCACCCATTCATGTCTAGGACTGTAAGTGAGAGCCTACACCCCACACTTGGTGGCTACCTACCTGGGCACCTGAGCTGAAGCCATACGGGAGGAGTGGGTGGACTCCTGAGCTCACATACCTAGTAACAGATCTAACCACCTGATGACAGGACATTAGAGCTTCAAAGGTGCCAATAATCAAACTAGCTCATACGAGCAGCCTATTTGGGCATATCAAAACAAGAATCTAGGACACAGTAAGCAAACATAAATAAATATAACTTATTGATGGCTTGGAAACAAGAGTAAATATCAAGTCACATAAATAGGCAATCCATGATGGCTTCAGCAAGCTCCCAAAATAAAGAATCTAGAAATTTTCCAGAGGAGGAAAATTTCTTGGAATTACCAGAGGCAGAATACAAAAGATTAATATACAAAACTCTTCAAAAAATTAGGAAGGAAATTAATCAAAACGCAGAACACGCAATAGAGGAAA